TGTTTACTGCAGGTAGACGGTTGACTTTGACCTTCCTTTGAAGTGCTAGGGCCAGGTTGTGGAGATTCCTCTCGATGATCCGTGGCAGTTGCATTAACGGGTTGTGGTAGAACATTGTTTGACGTATTTTCTTCAAGATTTGGGCGATCGGTGACGTAACTTGGTGCAAAATCATGATCCGAAAAAATATCCTGATTGAATAGAAATATTCCACACGCTCTAAAACCTGCTTGAATATTTTGAGGTGTGCAGCTCAATGGAAAGGCAGATGCCACGATTTCAGGTAGGTATATCGTAAATGGTCATAGTTGACCCAGGGTGGTTGATCATCCAGGAATCAGAAACTGAATTGACATATTTTTTGAAAGGCCCGTATACACTTCTGTCCAGTGGTTGAAGACGATGTGAACAATGGGGTGGAAAAGAGAGCATCACCAACCCATTGTTTTTAGCATAGTTCAAACCCTCTATCGAAAGGTGTGAGTTATGATTATCCAAGAGCAATAAACATGGTTGATCTTTTGAGCACTTTGTCATCTTAACAAAATGCTGATGAAATTTGCAAAAATGCTCCTCATTCATCCATCCAGAAGGGTTACAAGGTCCAATACAACCGACTGGACCACTTCTGATAAAATGCTCTTTATAGTGCACCCTTGGGAAAATAAATAGGGGTGGAATGAAACCTCCAGTAGCAGAAACAGCAGCTGCCATTGTTACCAGTGATCCCCTTTCTCCAGATGTTATTGAGCCAACCTGCTTAAAGCCACGTCGCGCGTCACTTTGCTGGGTTTCTGCACCGTAGTAACCCCGCTTTCGTCCATGTTCCATATATTTTGGGGTAACGGTCCATTACAGAAAACAAATTATTAAAAAAATCGGAAACATTTTTTCTGTTGAAGCTAGACGCTCGCGTTAAACTCGTTGGTTCAGGAGATCGAATTGACAATGTATTATTGCGTTTCAAAAACTGGAAAACCAGTCAGGACCAGCTTGTTTCAACTCCACCCATTTGTCAGGCACCTTGATATTATTTGCAATTGCCAATTGGTATGCTAATTATTTGCGCACATCTTTTGGACTAAGCCCAAAATACATGTCAGATGCTTGCGTAATATACTGCACTAGTTCATTTTCTAAGATTTCCGACAAAATCATTCGATTTTTTATGTAACCAACAGATATTGATGGTTGTGGGGAATCACTGTTAATATCTTCACTAAATTTCAAACAATATCTTGAAAGTGTGCGATAATTGATATTGTATTCAGCTGCAACGCCTCTTATGGATCTCCCTTCGCGCTTAACAAGACGAACTGCGCGAAGCATGACATCAGGCAAAACTTCACCTCTAGTGGTCTTCTTCACAAAAGAACGGGGCATTCTGTTGTCTATGGATCGACAGAAAAGAAAATCACAGGCAACACAATGTGGGGTTGGTTGTCACATGAAACAACCATACCCAATGTTTTGAGACAACCAAACCCATACCACAGCATACCCAGAACAGCATGAAAACTTACTCCTGTAAAATTTTGTTCTCTAAATTTGACCTTGCGCCATTTGCATTGGTATAAAAGGCAGAGCCGTATTCAGAAAATTTAATATAAATGGTGACAGCTTGGTGTAGGTATCAACAGGACCGTATCAAGTAGTAGATTTGTATATCGATGCACTGTTTTTTTAAGGTAGAAAAAGAACAATGTGAAATAGAATAAACTTTATTGGTGGCGCCAGATAATAAGTTTTTGAGTGTTATTTGTTTTAAAATTCCTATTTATAATTTTTAGTGTATAAAACAATCGGGTCCGAATGTAAAGTTTTAAAACATATTGCAATGGAAAGTGTTTGCAAGGGTGTGAATATTTCACTTGTGGAGAGGTGGAAAGTATGTAAATAAAATTATGTACAACATTATTGGATAATATACACTCTTCAAATCTTTTTTGGAAAATTACTTCTACTAATGCAATTAGACTCACAAAATTGTCATGCGGCATTTTCAAACTGCCGAAAGTGGCCTGGCTGTTACCTATTTAAGCTGTCGGGAATTGCGGCGAGGTAACTTAGGTTCCGCGGCCAACTCTCGCGCGGGCGTGGTAGTTCTTCAGAACGAACTCTAAATGAATGCTCGGGAGGCGCCAGGTCCTTATTCCTAGTGACTCTCCTGCCGGACCTACAGGAAGGGTATTGCCGCAATAGAGAAAGGAAAGAAAACAAAATGTGCGCCACTAATGAATATTTAATGTCAAATAAAACTAATTAAATTGTTCTTCTACTCTCACAACGAACTGAACCAGCGTAAGGTGACTCGAAGCGGCTTTAAATTTCGCGGTGACTAAAGGGACTTCTCCAAGAACCCCCTTGCCGACTAATACGCAATACCTTTTGGTAATAATGACCACTGATTAGGTCGGCCGAACCCTTGTAGGAAGCGCTTTCTACCGGTCGCACCCTGTATAATATAAATTAAGTGACAGTAGTTCGGATAGGCTGTAATTTGGAACTACTGTAGGTAATTGAGTCGGGAGAAACAACCCCGATGTTAGAATATGGGCAACAATAAACTAATCGGGATATGCGATTATGCCAGCGTTAAGGTGTTTTCGTTCTTTGTGATTCTCAGAGCGTCTTTGTGCGTCAGCAATAGCTGGGTTGACGGTACGACGAATCACCTTTACATACAAGTAAGTGACAACAACATTTGTTACACAAATAGTGGCTCTGACTCCCAAAATTTTATATTTTATAATACTACCAACTACACACTTCATTGGCAGTGGCTCGTACCACCGAATAACTATTTCCAACTGCCCGCCTGTATCTACAAGTATGCCTCCAACTGGCTAGACGACTTCCCAATGGACGACACACATAGGTTACATGAAGACATACCAAGTCGTTGAGGGCTTCAATAACTGGCTACCTAACTTAAGCGTGGACTGCGAAGATGTTGACGATGTCTAAGTAACTTCCGATATCAGGGACGCTATATGCTACGGGTACGGAATGACTAACAGGTGACACGAACTTCAACCACTTTGTTTTTCCTAGGTCTCGGACAACGTACCTCTCACTAAAAGCTATAAACTACTCATAGAATGACACAAACGACGTTGGACAACTACATACCCAGTTCGGATTTAAAAGTAAGCGGCCTTTAAATCCCCAATACTGGGTAAAATTAATCAATGAATGCCTAACTGGCTCAATATCACAAAAATCAATTAATTTATGAATGCTTGTGCAACTAAAGATCGGTTAACGAATTTCTTTCAAAATTTGTATAGTTTGCACAGCAATGGCCGTTCATAATCTGCCTTTTACAACGGTCTCCTTTTTTAAAAGATAATCTAACTGGAATGTGACCTATGACATCCTATATGATAGCTAGTGACGAAAATATCCTAAGAATATGCAACACATCGTTCACATCATATATAGTATGACCCATTAGTAACTTAGGGTGAATTTAACATGTAACATGGTCTACGTTTTCATTGTCATATGCCTTAAAGTAGCAATACAAAGAGGTGTCGTCCAGGTTTTCATATGCTTTTGCATACTGCGTACATATGTAGCAAGAGTGTTTTCCTAATGCTTTTTGCATTAAGTATCCACAAATGTAACGAACATAATTAGTTTCCAACAATTTGTGGGTTCGGTAATCAGAATCAAGTATTGTAATTTCAGTAATTTGTGGTTCAGTTTCCATTGCTAAATCGGTCGCTTCTAGTTTAGGTATCGGTGGTGAGGGTTCAGGTTTCGGTTCGGATGATTGAAATTGTGTTTCTGATAAATTTAAAAGCATAGCATCAATGTCTGCTTCGCAGTTTTCGGTGCCAGAGTGAAACAGTTTCGAGCACAACAATTTTTTGAAAGATCTCTGAAACTGAATAGCAGTAGGGTTAATACAATTTCCATTTTGTTGTCTTATGGCACCAAAAAAATTTTCCAAACTATCTTGATTTACTCTACGTGTTAGTAGATAATCGAATTTGGCTACCTGTTGTAGCTGGTCC